ATCTAACGGTCGGGTAAGCGGTAACGCCGGCCTCTCTGCACAACTGTCCCAATGTCTGACAGTTTACTTTTCCGGCCTTTACTTTGCCCTTCAATTTCTGTTTGATTCAAAACAAATCAATCATTAATTCAATATTAAATAATAAATTCAGACATTAATTGATAACCAAAAACGGCGGCAAACCTTAGATATGAGTTCAAACTCGGGAGCGAAATAAGTGCAGTGCGAACACCAGGGGGTGTAGAAGTCTATGAGCCATATATGCTTGGATTTTATCGCTTTTCTAAACGCATCTTCGGTTTCAATCTCTTTGACAGAACTGGGAATGAAATTATAGACCCAAACGCGCAGAGATTCCGCGTCCCGATTGTGACCATTAAATACTCTGCAAATAAAAACACAATTAACTAAAAGTTAATTTAAATCCAAACAAACAATGATTCAAATACTGACTGAAACTTTTGATCCTTAGAGTAGTATTTGCTGTCTTTGTGTGGATATAAACGAATAGTAGGATAGGATCTGACCTCCAAATCGCCGCACAATTGTGAGTACGCCTGACAGTCAATAGAACCGACCATAACGTTGGGCTCGTCTTTAAGCATTTTGGCCAATTTGGTCCATTGAGGGGCCAGTCGTTGACAGGGCCCACACCACGGCGCGAAAAAGTCCACTAACCATAGAGTGGTGCTCTTCTTCCGCTCCACGTTCTCCTTAAACGTCTCGGGAGTCAAATGAGTGACAGTCGGGAACAAAGTGTCCTAAAAATTTGTCATTAAATTCATCAAATTAATTGATATAAAAAATTAGATAAGTAATCAATTGATTAATAATTACTTGAATAAAATCAATCAAATCGTGCTCTGAATGCTGGCCATGAAACTGATGGGCGACCGACGAGTTGTACAGAAGTACCGTTGGATACGATCGGATGTTATACTGAAATATCAACGCAATTAAGACATAAATTTTGGTAAAAGTTTTCAAACAAAAAATCTCTCACTTTTTTACACATAGAGGAGTGAACCGTGCAATCAATGGTTCCGAAGTTAACCAAATGGTTGGCATTTCGGGACGCCTTTCGGATTTCAGGCATTAGTCTCATACACGGCGGACACCACTGTATACATGAAAATGTGTTTAAATGTTTGTTAAATGTTATAATCAATAGTTTTATTACAAATCAGTAAATATAGAAAATTACAAACCGGTGAAAAGAAGTCGACAAACCAGGGCTTACTATCGGCGGACACAGCATTGTTGACCTTATCTTCAAACACATTCGGATCCAATGTCTGGAGACGACTAGTGAGAGATTCTTTGGCGAAGTTTGCGATATCGAAGGCCAGTATTCGGCCTA